GACCCTGCGAAATTGAAGGTAATCTATATCTACAAGGAGGAACCATGAAACTTACAAAATCCCATAACATGCTCCACTTAAGAAATGGCTACAACAAACCAATTTATATAACAAGAGTAAAATATTCCATTGAAATAGTTTACAAATTTATAGTAAAATATAAACGTTCTTAGCTTTCTATCCCACTACAGGAAATGAAACATCTAGGTGCAATGCTGTGAACAAATCTCATATCTTTGATATGACCTACCTCAACGACTCCACATTATACGTTGTTCTGCAGATTGATTCCATAAATGTTTATTTTTTGGTTCCTTTTCTCAGAAGATCTAGAATATTTGGTGTTTTGCCCTAATATTTTGTTGTTTCCTGCTTTAACTATTGTTCACCCGTTTTCATTTATTGAATTGATTTTCCCACTCCTCTTTTATCCGCTTATACTCCCTTTGTTAGAAATTGTATGTTCCCACTCCTCTTTTGTCCACTTACGCTCCTTTTTTTGTTATAGTAAAAACTATTAAAAAACAAAAGGGAATTTTAAATGGACAAAAAGGGAGTGGGAAAATCACCACTCTTGATTTAATCCTATGATTGTAGGGTAAAGTTCCCCATTAACTTGAGAACCATTTGTGGTTAACAAATCAACTTTTTTTGTGTGTATGAGCACGCCACTGCTAGTGTTTAAAACCCTAGCAGACTTCTAAAAAATAGGTAACTTGCGCCCCAAGTCACTGATTTTAAATAAGCAATTGTCAATTTGGGTGAGGAATATCTCCCAAGTAAGTTCTTTTTCTTGCCTCAAACTGGTGAGGACTTCACAATTTTTCACAGTACAAAACTGGTAGTTCTAGCCCGAATAAATAAAAAGAGAGCAAAAATTGTTTAAGTAGAACTGCCTATTACAGAACTTAAAAAAGAGAAATGCACCAAGTCCGAAAAAGACAACAGAACGATGGAATTCGATTCTTGAACTGGGCTGGATTGGATATGTTTATGCTGGATTGAACTGTCAGCACCTTCAACCGATAGGTTTTAGCTGGGAATCGATACCAATGTTTGAATTTGGCAGAGCTTCAATTTGTTTCAAGCTGCGGAAGGCTTGTTGGATGGGCAGAATTGAGGTCTCTTCAGTCTGAAGGGGGTAGAAGTGGCTGGCTTGACAATTGCTGAATTGGAGCTACACTATAGTGCCTGTTCTACTTGATCAGGACCTATTCATAAATTTGTTGAGATTTTCATATTATAAAAACCCGAATTTTGCCTGACCTGGCTTGTGCTGAACCAAACTTGTAATGAGAGAAATCTCACTTTGTGAAACTGTTTCTCTGAACTGAACTGAAGTCAGAGACTTTGAGTTCTGGCTGACCTATCTCTTGTGGATCAAAGAGTTTTGGTTGCTTCAGAATCTGAAGACTTTTTGAGATCGACTGATCTTGTTTTGAATTTGTCAGTATGACTTTGAGAGTTTTTGTTTTTGATTGATTTTTGCTGTGTTTAACTCTGTTCACCTCCTCTTCTATTTATAGAGAATCTGAATGAGGTTTTGTTCTCAATGTCTGAGGGTAAATCTTTTGAAAAAATATTTTCTTGGTGCAAAGGGAGTTTATTTTGATCTGGCGAAAAAGAACCTATCAATAGTCAGTTTCTATGATGGTCTATTTGCTTTTTCTAGCAAAAACCAACTCTCCTGGCCTCTGCTTGATTTTTGGTGAACAACTCTCTTGTTTCCTGCCTATTTCTCAAAAAACGAGACCTACCATGAGTCTAGAAAGAAAAACTTAGGGGACGCCCTTCTTTCTGGGCTTTTTTTAATGGTTTTATGGAGAGAGTACTTTCTTGGTTAACCACTTCCTCTGTCTTTAGTTGAAAATTTTGACTTTTCAACGTCAGATGGCCCCTTTTCCTGGGAAGAAGATCTTTCCCAAAAGATTTATTTGATTCAATCTTGAGATCAATAGTGGTGATCAAATTGCCTGGGCTTTTTTGGGGGTATTTGAAATTGGGCTAATTTCAAGAAGATTTTTATCAACTGGCCTGCTTGGATCTAGATTACCATTTTAATGGTAAATTAAATTTTGATGAATTTGATCATTGGTAATTGGTTTTCAAGGGTCTGGGCCTTTAAAAACTATCTGGGCTGATCTCTGTCTAAATAAAGTCCAGTAAACTTCTGTTTCTGTTATGGGTTAATTTTCATTGTGCTTGCGTGTGGGATTTAGGCCCAAACAATGTCCCCTAAGTCTGAATTGTTTTAAAAACGGTTCCAGATTTAATGATTGCCCAACAAATGACGAGCACCATTTCCTTCCGTTGCATTAGCCCACCTCTGCCTATTCTAGACTTCGTGGGGAAATGGGTGATTTAACGGCTATTTTAATCTGCGCAATCCCTCTTCTTCCACGATCTTGTTCCTGAGCCTTAATAAGTTCTCTCAAACTTCATTACTATTCATTTATAAACCTAACTCCCTTCAGTTTTCAATATTCCTCATAATCCTTTGTTTTCTTTCGATCAACCTTCAATTTCTCCTGTCTTTGTGTGAAACTAAAAATGTCTTCCCCAAAGACTCGCACTAAGAGATCTTCTTCTTCATAGCCTCCTGCTTATCTCACTGGAGATGGTGTTGATCAACATGCAATCGAGGTTCGCAGTAGGCTCCATCCATATGCGCAAAAGAACCTGGATGAAAATATTCTTCATCTGCTTAGGAATACCCTTGTTCTAGGCCCTATTGGTTGGGTTCATGAAGAGATTGCTACTCTGTTCAAAGAAGATGCTGATCGGCTACCTTATGCTATCGAAGCTCTTCTACTCTGGCCTCTTATACCTGGGTCAGCAAGAATTTGAGCCGGTCCTATCCTACGAGTGAAGTGAGGAATAGCACCGTGAAGTGGTCAGACTGGATTGACAAACTTCTTCCGAGGTATGGAGACCATTGGAAAAAAGTCGAAATTTATGACTCCATCCTCCTGTCCAAGTAGTCTGTGAACATAGATGAGAATTTGTTAGCTGCTGCTCTCTGTGTTTGGAATTTTGCTAGCAACACTTTCGACTTCCGTGTGGGCCATACGACCTCAACTTTGCTGGATATGGCTAAGATTTTTGGGTTCAGACCTCATGGGAGACCTGCTGATGCAGTTGGTGGCTACCATAGAGGCAAAAATGGCGAGAGGCTGGCCAAGAAGTTCACTATTTCTCATGCCACAGTCAACCAGAACTGCTCATTCTCCAATTATCTGAAGAAATTTAGTATTGAGAGGGAGAGGGATCAACAGCACATGTTGTTTCTTCTGTACTGGCTGAACAGGTTTGTCTTTCCAAATCGTTCTTCATCAGTTCTGCTTGAATACTAGCATTTGGCAAAAGCTCTACATAATGCGGTTATAGTTCACATGGTTTATGTGGAGAAGAAGATATGGAAGGTTTGCACACCGTGTTGGAGTTGGGGATCAGATGAGCCAACCGTATTGGAGTTAAGGATAAGATGTTCCTGGATGTGACGCATCTAGTGTAGCTTCGCGGGTACATAAGGACCTTAATGATTTAAACTCTATTGTGCAGCATTGTACCGTGAGAAGGGTCAGCTAGATGAGAGAGTTTTACGCTTGGAAAAGTGTACCAGTCATGCAGAAGCGAGGAAGACTGAGGATGCTAAAGAGGAGAGGAATAAGACTGAGGATGCTGGAGAGGAGAGTCATAAGACTGAGGATGCTAGAGAAGAGAGTCAGAAGACTGAGGATGATGGATAGGAGAGTGATAAAATTGAGGATGGTGAAGTAGCCGAATTAAGAGAGCAGTGTGTACAAAATGTGAAAGAAGAGGTGCAATATATACCCCCAGATATAAATTGGGATGATCAAGATGTGGTGTGTGTCACCCTTGTTAAATTTCTTACGAATCCTCCTCGAAAGATTGACATGTCCACCGCAGAGGGTGAATGTGGTGAAGATGTTATAGTTGGGTTCCAGCAAAAGAGGGGTCGGGAAAAAGTGAGATTCTTGGGGCTGCGATGAAGAGGCGAGGGCAGTGGTAAGGGAAACTCCATGGAAAGGTCGGGAGATTCCTAATATTTTGAAGGACACAATTGCTGAACCCCTAAGGCCTGTTCCTCGTGATTCCCTTTTGGAGGTGGCGAAATTCTTGTTGTCTTTAGTGAAATGTAAATTGTTTATTATGATTAGGTATTGAGTGATTGGTGAAACGGAATTGATAATAATAATGATTGACAAATATAGTTCACATGTGCGGTTATGTGGAGAAGAAGGTATGAAGGTTCGCATAACTTCTTTGTTCGATTGCTGACCAAGAATGGTTGGTTGGATGACTCGGTAAGCATTAATTGATTTGGGATTTTGTCGAAATGCCCATGCTATGTAGTGATTTATTGATTTAATAATGGAAACTACCCTTTTATGCAGAACGTTGACATGGCCTTACATTTGCTACAGGAGTGGCACAACAACTCTAGCAAGTGAGCGGATTCTGACTGGACGATACTGGACACCACTTTTCAGGTCTGTATTATTTCATAAGCATAGTTTATTTTCAAATTTGGCATCCATTATGACGCATCACTCATGTGATGCTATGCAGAAATGTGTTGCCTTAGATTACTGATAAGTTCATAATTTCATACATTCGCATGCCTTCTTTACTTAGTGACTTTGCTTAGTTTCTCTTTATTTTGAGTCACTTACCTCTTTTTGTTTGTTTTGTAGGTTAAGACAGCAAGAGATCATATTTGATGCAATCCATGCTTGTTAAGGGCTGATTGGGATAAGAGGAATATGAGCTTAAAAACAACCTCAATTTGGGCCACACTCCTTGTCAGTCCAGTTTCGTGGGTCATCTTGCAGTCCTCATTTCAGCAACTTACACAGGTTGGATGAGGAGACATCCTTGATAGAGGTTCTTCCAATGGGTGTCTATTATAACATATCCAAATTTCAGCCCAATTGGATAAATCTGGAGCCCTCAACACTTCAAAGACTGAACCAAGTTCACAGAAATGTCATGTTGGCTGCCAGCACATTTAATGTGTCTACATCCCTACAGCCATCTGCTGAGTATGGGCAGCCACACATGGGAGTCAAATCAGCTCAGGAACTTAAAAGGATGAACAAAATTCAAGTTTTCCATAAAGAAACCATACCAAAGCATGTATTTACCAGCTGGAGTAGGTGGCAAGTATGGGCATCTGGAACAGTTGGCAAGTATGGGCAGCTGGAGCAGTTGGGAGCAGCTAAGAGAGGTGTGCTTCACCAGCCAAGGGGGAGGACGAAATTGCACTCTATAAATAGAGAGCTGCACACTCATTCAAGGATAGAGAGTCTGTTTGGGGGTGGTGGAAACCCACCTAATCCGGGCACG